CCAGCAAGGAAGCAGTAGGATTAGGTGGTGTGTGGGTTCTGAGACTTTCAAATCCACAGAAATTCATGTTGAAACTGGCCTCTGGTTGTGGGGACAGGGCCTAAGTCATTTAGTTCATAGCACACTGGATGTTTCTTGCCAGCCTGACCATGGCTCCCTGGCCATGGATGTCTCCCATGGCTGTCCCTCGCCCAGTCACTGTGGGAGTTTATCAGTGGGAGCCCTGAGATGAAGCCACCCTAAAGCTTCTCTGAGTCCCAGGTTCAGTTGCCCTGTCCCTAAAATGTCATCTGGCCAAGCATTCTCTCCACGGAATATGGCAGACATTTGGAAAGGAGCCACTCACTAGCAGTTGTAGTCCAAAGCATCCACTGCTCTGTTCCTCTGTTCCATTTCTCCCTGAAGACCTTTGGAGTTGCTTGCATTCACTGTGTCTCTAGATTCAGTCTTTCTCTTGTCACAAACCAGGCTCCAGGGAGAAACTGCAGACTTCCCCTTCCTTTTTCTGCACTGAGTTCTGTCTCTTCAGTTTCTCTGAGGGTTCCAATTTTCCAATCAGATCCTTCCTATGTCCCAGTAATTCACTCCCTCTTTCTTTTCTTTCCCAAATTGTTATTCTCCAGTGTCTGGATTCTGAACCCTGAAAAAGCTGATTTACTGCTGCTTACCACTCCACCATCTTCCCAGAAGTCCTGTTTACATGCTAACTATTCCTTTTTCTGGGTAGCTAATAAAAATATTTTCCCATTCTGTGGGTTGTCTCTTCACTCTATTTGTGGTCTCTTTCATAGTGCAAAAGCTTTTTATTTTGATTTGATCCCAGTGTTGATTCTTTGTAATATTTCCTGTGGGACCAGGGTTTTGTTTATAAACTCTTTTCATATACCTATGTCTTCAAGAGTTTTACCTACTCTGTCTTCCAGAAGATTAAGTATTCTGTTCTTATATTTAGATCTTCAATCCATTTCAATTTTAGTTTAGTGCATGGTGAGAGATACAGGTCTCGGTTTAGGTTTTGATGTGTGGAAAGCCAGTTTTTCCATTTGTTAAAGAGGCTACTTTTCTTCCAATGAAGGTATTTCATCCCTTTGTCAATGATAAGATAGCAGAGAGTAAGTACATGGAGTTGTTTGTTTTCTGCATCTCCTATACTATTTCATGGATCCTAATGTCTTTTTTTTGTCAGTACTGTGTTGTTTACATCACAGTAGATTTGCGATATAACTTCAAATCAGAGACGGTAATGCTCCCTGTCTTGAACAGTCTTAAGTATAAAATAAGTAAAATGTCTACATTGGCTGAAAAGTGCCATTTTCTCCTACCTCAGACCCTCAACAATGCTGTTCCTCATGTTATCCTTGTATTTGCCTATCTTCCAATCACTCTTGCCCCACATCCCTCATCTAGTTAGGCTCTCAGAGAGCTTTCTCTGATACCACAAATTTAAATATCCTTACCCTATACTCTCATGTGATCCAGAACGATATGTAATCATATATTTGTGATTATAAGGTTCATGCCTGATTCTTCCAACTAGTTAGGAATTGTATGAAGACTAAAAAATTGGCCATTTTATTCCAAGCACCAGCCACGGTCGTTAAATATTCACTGAATAAGTATTTCTGGTTAGGGCTGGAGATATAACTCAGTGGTAGAGTGCTCACCTAATATGTGCAAGGCCCTGGGTTCAAGTCTCAGTACCAAGAAAAAAGGAGAAGCAGGAAAAGGAGATGGAGGAAAAGAAAGAGGAGGAAGAAGAAAAGGAGGAGGATGAGATCATCCTCATCACATGATCCCCAAAGTTGCTTAACATTAAAATAACCAAAGAACTAAGGGGGGTGACTGGTACCCTCTTTTATGTACACTCACCTAGTAACTGACTGCAAGCACTGGAAAACTTGAAAATGGAAATCAAACAAGGCTGCCAATTGTTGAACACAAGTCAGTGATTATTCTCATTCAACACAACTAATCAAGCATAAGTACCCTGCTGGCCAAGAGACCTGGAGAAGATAATAAGATTCTGAGAATTCAACCTCAAGAAAATTTTTTCAGTCAATTATGTTCAGCCAGAGAAGAGGTTGCCTAACAGGGGAGGCAAGTTTATGAGTGAGAGTGAGTGAGTGTAAATGTGTGTGTGTGTGTGTGTGTAACAAATGGAGAATTTTTCCTATTCTAATGGCCACAGCACAGTAACTAAGAACTATTCCAACTTATTTTGCTGGATAACACTGAGCCACCTTGTGCATGGCATTACCATCACTAATGACTACCTTATCTCAAATCCAAAGGAGAAAAAGGTCACTAACTTGATGTTATATAAACACAATGCACCAAATTTTCTAGCAACCATGACCTTAAGACAACCATATAATACCACTGCACAAAGTTGGCTCCTCTAAAAACCATCTCCACTCTCTCAACCTGGGTTGCCAAAATTATAGAGCAAATACTGAGAAAGAATCATGTACCTGAATCTTAGAGAATATTTATGAGTGAATAAGGTGAACAAATAAAATCAATAGTAGAAAAACAATACGCAACCCACTTCCTTGTTGCCCCAGGCAAATCTGTTGCTTAAACAATAACAACAGAATCTAATCAGTAAACCTCCCAGCTGCCAAAATTATACAAGCAACTTGCCTATTTAAAATGTCACATTTCCCATCTGATATAAATATTTGCCTTCTGCTCACATTCCTGAAGTGTAATACAAATTAGGCTCAAACTGAAATCCACCTTGGCACAAACTGTTTAATTTCTTTTTTTCCTTTCAAGTGACCCAGATTATGCATAATGAAAATCAGGAAGCCCTAGTGGTCTTTTCGGTAATTAGAATATATCACTGAAGCCTGGATCAATTTTCAGCCCAGGCTTTGCACATTATTTTACATATGGGAAGGTCTTGACTAGTCTAGGATCAACTTTGCTAACCTTTTATACATAAACACAAGGCCACCTACTATCTGACCTCTGAAAAAAATCATACTAGTGAGATGTCTTTAGTCAACTTTTTAAGCAAAGAAATAAGTTTGGTAATTAGAAGGTACAATTTGAAAAAATGTTTAAAGAAAACAAGGAAAAAAGCTAAAAGGCTAATTTACAAGATTGATATAACAAGAACAAGATTTGCTGGCTATGTTGGCTTATGTTAGTATACAGACCTTCTCATTACTGGCAGAAAGTGAGAAGTTTAAACCATCACAAAAAATGCCCCTCAGGTACTTCTCTGCCCACCTACAAAACTGATTTTATATTGTAAATGTATTACATGCTGGCTAAAAACATGAGGCTTGAAGTGCTGGCTTCAAACTAACTACATTAGAATCACCTGAGATAGTGACCAAAAATGTAGATCACTAGATACCACCAAAAACCTTGTGAATTAGACTCTTGGGAACAGGATGTAGGGCATCTGAATTTTTTATAAGAAGTCCCTCCCCAAATCACCCAACCCCAAACTGTGTGCTTGCTCTACAACTGTAACTTGACAGCCCTTAGCTCTCCTTTGTAGTTCAACAGAAGTCCCTACACTACTCTTACAAAAATTCAGAGCCACATAGAGTATAAAGCTAGAGAACCCTTCCTGTAAGATATAATTCCTTTAGATCTCTGATCTCATTTATATAAGTAAACTAAAATAGTACTCAAGATTCTAAAGGGGTTAATTAGCAATGTGAAACAGGAAGAAAAGGACTAAAGATGTAGGGACAGCGAGAAGGGTAGGGGAAGGGGAATAAGGGAAAGGGAAAAAAATATGAGAAAATGTAAAAATGAAATTAAAGTCTTTGTAGGTGGGGAGGGGAGGAGGGGGTGAAGGGAGGGTGGGGACAAGGGGGAAAATGAGAACCAAGACCTGTCATGTAAAGGTACAAGATCCCAGTAATGAATGTAACTGTACTGTCTACCTAGACTGTACCAATAAATTCAATAAAAAAAAAAATATACAAATAACTTCAGCATTAACTGGTTAATAGAGCAATGGAGAAACAACTCCTTCAGTGGAATAGTGAGATGTCTGGGACCAGAATAAAAATGTTAATTGCTTCTATTTACCAAAGCCTCACCAATTCAAGACAAAGAAGCCAGAGCCAAGGCACAGAGAACCAATTTACAAATAGCCATCCCTAAACTTTTACTCCCAGCCACTTTTACTCTTCTGATTATGAATAAACTATCCTTTTCAAACAAAAATGGCTATATTTCATGTTTATGACTAACTAAAAACTGTAAATAACAGTTAAATATCAACTGACTGCCCCCCAAATTTAACAACAATGTTGAAAAATTCTTGCATTGTGAATGAAGAATGAGCATTTTCAAAACAACACTGATTTTGAATATATTTTACAGGTCCTCTGATCAACAGAGGATACTTAAGCTTACACAGAAATGTTAACCAGGAAAGAAAAAGGTCTTCATCTATATAAAAATTCAGTAGACTGTCATTAAGCCTCTTCCAGTCCAGACCATATAAACCCAAAAGAAATATTCACAATATATCTTTAGTCTTAAGTGTTTGGTTTACATATTTAATAAATATTTTCTAAAAGAAAAATGTGAATTTTATTTTTATGATCAATTCTGATTTTTTATGATTTTTATGACCAATTAATATTTTGTGTGTCCCTCACAATAAATAACCTCAATTAACAACACTGCACTTCTCGGAAATGAGAGGTTGATTTTATGATAGCTGTACTGAAACAATTATTTAAGAATCTCTTATGTAGTAAATCATAGATATGCCGTAGGGCAGCTGTATTTCACTTAACTCCAAAGGTTTTATAATCCTCAAGAGGTTTTGACCAATCTGGTGAGACTTTTGCTTTCAAGAAAGAAATTTCACAACTTCAGTCTTTCCTAATTCAGAGGAGGTAGAGGTAAGGATTGCCCCACTCCGATAAAAAAAAAGAAAGAAAGAAAGAAAGCTTTCTAAAGCCTCAACTGTAGTTTCTAGAAAGAGGTCAAGTAGTATGAAAAAGAAAGAGAAAGCATACCTTTGCTCATTTGGGGCTCCATTTCTTCATCTACATCCATATCTTCTAAATCTAGGAAATTGTCCACCTAGAAAAAGGAGTAACATAATTTTTATGCATATTAGGCTTAAAGAAAAAATGAGTAAAGTCTTGAATCCACTTCCACAACACTCAACTGAGCAGCTGAATCTACTTTCTCATTAATTCTTAAGTCCCATCTCAAAGCTTTTGTGTTCACATGCTTTCCCATCTGAAAGCAGCAGTAAATTTGGAAGCTGGCCTGGATTTTACAGACAACATAGTCATCTCTTAACAGGCTTTTCGTTTTTGGAAAGGGACTTTGTTCCAGATTCTACCTCGGAATATACACCACAACCATGATGGTCCTAAACAGGATTTCTGGTTTTCATTTCTCTTGTTTGCATCTCAAGCAAATAGCAGTAGTGGACCTGGTTATCATCATAATGGTGTGCTGTAAGAATATAGCACTCTGAAAAGCCGGACAGAAGGAACTAAAGAAAGCAGGAGAGAAAGGTTCATTCAAAACAAAATCATCCTGCCCCAGGTAAATCACAAGAGAGGTGAGCAGGGCAAAAAATCAAGTGTTCTCTCTTTCGAACAAATAAAACTGAAAATTACTTCAAAGGTAAAAAACACAGCAAATGACCTTTACAGAGACAATAGCAGCATTTCAATGAAAAGCAGTTCCACATGGAATACTGCTTTCCACCGCAAGCTGACAATCAGACACTTTAGATTAACAAAATGGCAAAATTTCAGACATGAACTAGTGCATCACAGAGGAATATCAAAGAGTGTAAGTAAGAAAATGATTTCACCACTGGCATGAATGACAGGTATTAAAAGCATACGGTTATGATGCTTTTTATGTTCATGGCCTAAACATGTACATAACCAAATACCTTAAAATTACAAATTTAGATTTAATAATTGCATTTCAAAAGACAGACTTTTTCCCCTTGCTGTATGTGTAGGAGCTGGACTACAGCTATTCCATAGGAATTTAAAATGATAGTTTCCATTGCTTAGAAATACAAAACTGCAATTATTACTTGGCATCCCAGCAATAGCAAAGATATATCTTCTGTATGATGGTTTCAGTACTAGATTCTGTGGTGTTGCCACTTGCTGAATGGTATATGCTAAGGGGAACTGGAGGCACACTTTTCTATTAAAGAACCCCTTCCTTGTGTTAAGCTTTAAGGAAAAAATATCCAAAACCCAACCAAGCAAGGGTACTTTGAAAATATTAAAACACCGGCCAGGAGTGGTGGCGCATGCCTGTAATCCCAGCACTCAGGAGGCTGAGGCAGGAGGATCGCTGTGAATTCAAGACCAGCCTGGGCTACCTAGTGAGTTCCAGGTCAGTCTCAACTACATAGTGAGACTCTGTCTCAAAAGCCAAAAAAAAAAATA